GTATGTATATGTGTAGCTTAAATGCTAGTGGCAGGTGGCCCATCTCGCAAAACAGATCTTCTAGTAAGGAGCTGGTTTAGCTTTACAAGCACAAAATCACTTGAGGCTGTTGTTGCACACTTGAACGCAAAAGCTCCTCTACAAGCCTGGCAAAATGCCATACGTGCTCTGAGGTCACCTGAGGATCCTGCAGCCCTCTGGACCTCATTATCCCATATATGTTTCCTGCCCATAACCCTGCTAGGTGAGTGCACCGGGAGAGAGAACCCATTTTTTTGCATATAGTTTTTTTTGCACTATTTTGCACTATTTTGATTGGTTATGGAAGTCATAAGCTATTGTTAATGCCCTCTGGCTGGAATATGGTTTATTTCTGGAGGAGGAAATGGAGGTGATTAGCTTTCAGGCTCCATGAGCCCGTGGCAGATTTGTGTGTCTAAAAAGAACTGACATCCTGAAAAAGATTTTTAGTAAATGAACACATTTTCTGAACTTCATGCCAGATGGTCATTCACGTAGGAGAGAGACCTTAGCTGTTCTGATAACAGTAATGCACCTTTACGCCTTTAAACCTTCTCCTGTGGTGTTGCTATCGTTTGCTTCAGACCCAGCAAGGAATTCGACAGAAGAGAGACGGGCAATGGTATCTATTCTGACATTTTTTTCTGGATGAAGCTCAGTCTAAACTGGAATAACCTTCATGACTGTGATCTGTGGATCTGCAGCATAGAGGCAACTTTGCATAGGACTCAACCCCTGCACCACCGTCAATAGAACAGATCTGGAAATGCAAAGCCCAGTCCACCTAGGGGAATGTCTAAATTTTTTTCTGAGAAAGAGAGGCTGATTGCAAGAATTAGTTCAGTTTTTGGAGATGGACAGGATTATGGGTGAAAAAATCCAGCACTGGACCAGCCATATCCCTCCTTATACTGCATATTCCTGACAGAGCTGGCATGGGTATTTTACACATGGCATTTGGATTAGCTACGCAGTTGCTCCTATGCGCAAACGAGCAATCCTTTTTTTCTTATCCTTTTACAATGTCTATGAATGTCTCCAAGGAAAATATGTCTGAAATTTCTGTTGTAAACTAGGTGACACTGAATAATCTGGCTCAACTAAAAAAACAGGAACACGAAATCTGAACTTTGAAAAATTCACCTTTTGATCCCAGATTCAGCGCAGGTCAGAATTTTATACCATGAAAAGCACTTTTTCACATGAGCCCTTCCACTGACTGAGAAGCCTGGCTTAGGTTTTGAGGGATCAAGTGCTGTGCAGATTGGGTCCACTGCTAATTTAAATACAGCGTCTAAAAACTAATTATCCGGATCTTCATTAACGATAATAGCCTAGTCTGACCAGAAAATAATTAAGCATTCCACATTCTCTTGTTGTTTTTACCCTCTGCAAAAAGTGCCTATTGCGCATACTGACTCAGCGGGGAAGGTGTTCGTTGCTGATTTACCAGCAAATTCTTTTTTCCTTGGTGGAAGGATAATGAAAGAAGCAGAAATCTGACAGCAGGAGCATCATGAAGTGATTTGGCAGACAGCTGTCCAGACAGAAATCAGGAGAGGGAGGGTGAAAGGAGGGGAAGAGGAGATATTGAAATACAACAGCAATTCACAGGAGAAAAAAAAAAAAAAAGCAGAAATAATTTCTTGTCTGAAGAGCTCAGCATGGTTTATTTTAAGGCTGGGAAACTGGGCTGTGGACTTTATGATGTTTACAGCTTTCAGGCAGAAGAAAAATACTTGAGAGGGCTACATCTGAATGTATCCAGCACCCCCAGTACTGTGCGACAATACGGAGAACAGGGAGTGCTCAGCTTTGCACACACTTATTCAAGTGCTTTGATGTTCAGTGGTGGTGCAATTCCAGTTGTTACTGGAGCGTCTGTGTACACGCGACTAACTCTGAATTTTGATTGTCTATTTTTTGCTGCTACACCAACATTTGTGGATTTAGTGCTTTTCTGTGAAGTTCTTAGGTCTTCATGTGTGATTCTGCAATTCCTATTATTCTCAACAGGGATTTTCTCTTGAATCATAGATTATGTCTGCCTATCTTAACAACAGGAATAGAAAGAATGAATGGCTTTATTAAATCTCTTCTAGATAGTCTGAAACCTAGAGAAAAGCTAGAAAAGAGAGACTGGATAAGGGCTAGCCCAGTCTATGACAAGGGAAAAACACTGGCTGAATAGTTCTTTTCTACCTAGAAATACACTTGATGACGCATGGAGTAATTTATGAACCTATTTCTCTGTTGTTTTGAGGACTGAGCAACTATTGAGCAACTATTGTCAACCATGGGGCAGTTTTATCGAGTAGTAATAGACATTACTGTTGTTTCAACATCCCTAATAAGTTGTGAAAACCTGCTGATATACGAGTATGTATATAGCTATATTGGGCTTTTCACATCTCCCGAGTAAGAACAAAAGCCTTCTAGCCAGGACTTCCAATTTCCAACTGCAAACCCAAGTTTTTGGAATTTCAGACATTGGTATATATTATCGTTGTACTGCATCCAATCTCCCACCTCAAATATGGATTAAATCTTTCATCAGTGCACCAGAGACTGGGATCAAAGGGGTAGATTGATGGATGTTGTGAAAGAGGCCCCAGGACATTTTAGGACCGTGGTGCGGACTACCTCAGGCCTTCTGTGAAGGAAGGGATAGGCCTTCAGTGCTAACTACTTTCACGGGCATTCCTTTTAGGCTACTTTATGTCCTTTGCAATCACTAGCATTTTGGGTAGACCGGGAAACAGAATGACCACAAACGACCAAACATCTAACAAAGCCACTGCCACTTCTCCACCCCGGGGACAGCGCGGCTGCATAATGCTTCTTCCTTAAAAAAAAGGCCAGCCTTGAGTCATCTGCAGCTCGAGGAATTCCTGGGCCAGAGGTGGTTTCTCTATAAAAACTTCTGTTTTCTGCTTCCATTTGATGTACCCATCGTTTGCTTGGAAGGGACAATGAATAACGATTTCCCTAATGCTCTCTTCATGTTACTGAAGATTTTGTAGCTATCCTTTCTCTGCTTCAGATGCCTCTTTTCCAGCCTTGAAACTTACGTGATCTTTGTGCTCTGAGTAAGCAGAGCCACACAACTGGTGAAGAATACGCTCTGGAGTACCTTGCATGACCATGTGCCCACTTATTCCCTACTGTGAATACACAGAAGAGCCATGTGCCAGAACACAAAAGGGAAAAAAATGTATTTTGTTGAAATGAATCTTCTGTGCTCGTGCGTGCCTGATGGCAACTGTCCGGGTTCCCTAGCTCGTGGAATTTAATGCCTTTGCAAGCACAGTAGCCAGTCCATCATCCTTGCTCTGGCTAAAAAATAAGCCCTGGGTGAAATCTTGGCTTGTTTATGAAACAGATACAGGAGGTTCCTAAGCTTTCTCACAGTGCTGGGATGGTCTATAGCACAGAACAACACTTTTCTCCTTTGACATTGATATAGTAATTAAGGCCTGCGCTAACCGTCTGTACAATCATATTGCTAGTAGTAGACTAGAGGTCTGTTTTGGGAGTGCCAAGCATTGACAAGGCTTTGTGGCTTTGCAAGCCTACAGCTGACTGTTAGGAAATACTATATGGTCTTAGACTACCTGAATATAAGCTTAACATACCACTTGCTTGTGGTTCTGGGTGACATAGACTGACTTATTGAATTTAACCAAAAGGAGTCATATATATGTTAATTTGGCAGCTTCAGTGAGGCTAGAGGACAGTTATGCTTGTGCATAGTGCATACTGGGCAACAGCTAGGAACTTTAGAATATGCACAGGCATAGACATATCTAGACCGGAGACAAGAAAATCAGAATTTTTGCAGAAAAAGGGTGGCATATATGCCCTTCCTGTTCATTTAACAGAAAAAAAAAAAAAAAAACCAAGGAATCAAAGTTTTATTGTGAATTTATGAACATGGGAAACCAAGACTAAAAGGAATCAATGTTATGTTTAGCCCCACAAAACTGAGAACAAGCATGCAAAAGAAGCATAGTTTGAAACATATAAGGAACATTTAAGCCACCTGCAACCTTACACCATCACATTAAACACTCTCCATCACCCTAGTGAGATCTTTTTTGAGACCAGTATTGTAAAATCAAAAGCTGCAACTAGAAATGTGTCACAGGGAGGGAGCAAGAGATACTGAGAGCACGTGTCTTCTATGCTACGCTGTCTTCTTACAGTGCTTACGCTCTACTTTGCCAGGCAATATTTCCACTCATTCAAAGAGACATTTAAAAACTTTCTTAGCGTGGACAATATGTAGAAACAAAGGAAAGAGAGCAAATTTAGAATTCGTTCAGAAACTGTGCCTCCTGCTTATAATACTGAAGACCTTGCTCACAGAAGCCAGCAGAATAATTTTCTCTGGCTTCAGTGGGCTTTAAGTAGCAGCTAAACGCTTCAAATCAAATTTGGGTCAGGTATAATACAAGTTTTGGGTTAGTATGCCATTTTTACTTTATTTCAGCCTGGAAGTAGTATCAGGATATCTTATTTCATTTTAGAACTCTATTGTTTACATGACAAAGGGCATGTAAGCATGGCATGACAGGCATGCGTTTATTCAGAAATGTAGGTGGCATAATCATACGATTCATGTGAGAGCAGAGGTCTGAATTTAGATTCGTAAAAGCCTCATGAAATTTACAAATGTCCAATGAAACCCGAAGTTCAAAATAAATACTGAGATTTTAGGAAATTTCAAATACTCCCAGGATCTACCATGACTAGAGGAACTGGACAGTTGGCATAGATCTAAAATACAGCAGATATTTTTAAGAATGAATCAAAAGAATACAAAATCAGTAAAAAATCATATGCCACATTAACCCCTAGGATAAACTGACTGAATTGAGACTTTCTTTTTGTCCATCCTCTGAATAGCCAGTATTTCTCTCACAGGAGTTAGAGATGCATGATTTTCACCTGATGGAGCAACTATTGAAACGACTTACCTGTATGGAGACGCTGCTATAGGAACCACCTATGACTCCTGCAATGAGTAATGGTAAATTCTCTTGAATGGCGTATGAACCATCAGGGCACATATACTCTGTTTCATCCACTTTAGTCAAAGAGGCCCTGACAAACTCCAGAGACTGTTCTAAAGCATATGTATCCCTGGAACACGTGTCCAAAATGTGAACTCCAAGCTTAATTCCTGGCAGCAAGTAGTTGTCTCTGTTGATTTCATCAATGGCAAACAACATAGCCTCCAAGCGCTGGATGCCTCGGTCTTCATTGATTCTTCCACATTCTTCTATCCCGGTGCCTTTTTCATTGATTGGGAATAAGCCACCTAAGACCAAGTCTCCTTCTATCTTAATCTCCTTTCTCACAAAGTTGTGGTCACTTAGGGAAAGGAAGACCCCTTTGGAAAACAAAGCTAGGGCAAGGACTTGGAGTCTGGTGAACATCTTCATCGGTCCTGTTCTGGCAGCTCTAAGAAACATTGGTGGGAGCAAAAGAGCTCTTCAGTCTTTCTGATCCATTGCCAGATTTGAAGTGCTGTCCCACAAGCCAGTGAAGAACAAGCCAACGAGACTTTCCAATGGATCTCTAAAGAAGAGATGAAAGGAATTAAAAAAGGCAAAATGAGATGTGAACTCTTACCACATTTTTATCAATAAAACATTTGAGAGCAGTGCCAAAGGACTGCTGAAAGCACAGATTATAAGAAATACGTTTGTTTTGTGTTCTCAAAGAGTTCCTTGTTTCATATGCTCCGTAGCCAATTAGTAACTAAACATCCACAATGACGTCCATGCTCAAAGACCACAGACATCTGGAGTGATATAGCCAGTGCCGACTGCTGCTCAACAATGTTTTGCAGCTGCTAAGGACAGAGATCACGTCTGGTATTTTTCTTATACCAGGATCCTAGACTCTATCCTCTCTCTCTTCCCAAGTGCTATATAGTCTCCCTCACTGCATGGCCGGCTGCTTCCAGCCACCCTTTAGTAAGGTTTCTTTTTTGCCAACTGTGCTCTACTTACTATTCAGCTATAGCACTTCAGCTATTCTGCAGCTGTAGCGCTCTCCCAATGTTATCTCCTTACTCTTAGCTTTTGCTGTACTCAGTGCTGGACCTTCGGCTCCAAAGTTTCTTGCTGAGTCCAATTGCCATACCCTTCTTTACAAGCCTTCTCACCCAACGTAAGCATTAACAGGTTGGGGGAAACCCATTTGGGTTTCACCTCCCTTCTTAGGCTGTGCAAGATGTTTGAAACACAGAAACCCTGTGTTGATAGGTGGAAACAGGAGACTATGTCTCTATCAGAAAAGTAAACAAGGCCGTGTTATGGTTCATACCATCTAACTGTTAACCTGATTGTAACTCTGGCACGGTTTTGACCTAGACCAACTAGTCTGCTCCTCAACTCTCCTAGCCGTGCAGTAGTGTAGGACACTTTACTAAGCGAACCAACTAAGGTTAGTTATTATGTGGAAGGACAGGAAATTAAACCTGGATCTCTGCATATGTCTTAATCAAAAAACCATCCCTCCTCAAGGCAAAAAAGATTCTCCCCCAAGCAAATTAAGTCAAGAAAAAGATGAAAGTGAAAAAGAAGAGGCGTGACAAGGAGGAGTCTTGTACTTGATGCTTGCTTAGGGCATGCAAATGCCTATGGCTGGACTTACTCACTTTAATGTTACTCGTGGTTCAGTGCTTGGATCAAGAGGAGAACACAACAGTGATGTACGTACTTGGGATACAGTTTTACTCCTACTAAAGTCAAAACATTTTGCTAATGACCTTAAAAGGAGAAATATCAAACTGGAGAGATAAGATCACACTGTGAACAATTTTGTGACTAAATTCACACACATAAAGTGTACTTATGCAATATAGATGCACGATTTGCCTGTGAACTCCTTGTCAACATCTCTTTAAATATGACAAAGTGGCAACTTTGACCCCCAGCTCCTGAGATAAATCAAGTACGGTAATATTTAAATAGATCACTTGAATAATTTAGTCCTGTACTTACCTTTTCCTTAACACAGCATATATTATGACTATATTGCAGGGTTATTTATAATTTAGAAACACTTAACACTAAGATATTGAAATAAATAACAATTAAAATTTAACTCTGAATGATGGATAAACATGCTTATTTCAAGGCAGTTGTTTATCCCGGTACAATTTCAATGTTGCTATATTAAACTATGTGAAAGGATAGTGTTTTATTCCTATTTACTCCAGCATTGTTCTCTCATAAATCAGTCATGTGTCAGATGCAAAGGTAAAGGTCGTTCTCTGCAATCCTACTAATATGTGTGGGTCGTCTGAACTACCGTCTATCTCGGCAGAAATAGGTGATATCTCAACGGAAAAGAAAATTCATTATCCCTCAGTGATCTATAAGCAATCTAGTTTGTGGATTACATTTAGTAGTAGTTTATTAACTAGTTCAAGAAACGATTTTGACTGGGTAATATTATGAGGACTAATGAAATAACTGGATTCAGCTCTAATTTCTGTGTCAAAATTAGCAGTGCAAATTTCCAAATATTTTTCAAAGATATACATGGCAGATAAAATAGTGAAAATGTTCCATTGTAAACAATTATCAGGCAAAAGGTGGCATTTATGACTTTTTTTTCTAGTTAATAATTCAATCAGACCTACTTCCATTGCTCTCATCGTTAATCCACTGTCTGGATTAAAACAGGTCTTGCGATTTTTTTTATGTAGTACGCATTCTATTTACTTCTGTAGCTTCTGCTGCCACTCTGTCTCCACAAATATTCATACATTTATCCTTACAAAATTGATGTAATGTTTATTCTCCCTGTTTTGTACATGACGAGGAAGAGGCACAGAAACATGGAATGAGGTTCTCCAAAGAGTTTAAGTCCAGATTTCCATTTGCTCAGTACTCACAGCTGACACCAAACTTTGAGAAGGGCTCAGCCTCACCTTAGACTTTAAAGATCGCACTTTCAACAGTGCCCTGCATTCCCTGCTTCCCACTGAAGCACTAATTCTGAAAAACTTAATAAGCAAGTTGATCTCTTTTCCAAGTCAGTCCCTGAATGATTTACCTAAGGTCATTAGCACAGACATGAATAAAACTTTGATCTTTCCACTGGCTTCTCCAATACCTAAAGATAAGCTAGCCTTATTTCTCATCGCTCCTTCTGCTTTTTATGGTTATTTTATAAGACGACATTAAAAACACTCTGTTTTCAACGGTGCTTCAATGCTACCAAAAGCAACTAACTTTGTCTCAGAGAAGGCTAGTCAGAGGAAGACTATCCTGAATGCTACAAGAGAAATGCCTAGAGCTATGATGGAATCATCATGAACGCTAAGGAGGCCGTTCTGCACCCCCCCCAACTCCTTCGTAGGTGCTGGTTGCTGCAGATGGTGTCACCATTCACCTTGCATCTCAGCTGTATCTGAGGGATCTGTGTGTCTGTCATTTCTCTGTAGTAAATTTTAGAAGGGGGCTATGAATGCTTTCTACGTTGTACACAAAAATGGAGCGTGTAAAGGGAATGCAAATGCCATAGAGAGGATTGATTTTCCCTGCAAAGAATGATCCTGTAAAGGATTTCTTTATACTGAGTTTTGAAAATGTAGAGAGGCACTAGACATGCAGGCTCATGATTTCCAGGAAAACATGATCATCCTATCTTACATGTTCAACTTTGTTTATAAATGGGAGACGGTTAACCAAAACCGCAGTTTCAGTCACCAAATGTGCTTCCCACTGCAGACTTGGTACCTTTGCTCCCAGGCTGGTGTACTGCTGCCCTGGTAGGCTCTGCTTGCGTTGCAGTGTCCTGCCAAAGAAAATGGGTGTTATGCAGAGGTGGGTCAGCGGAGGCATTTATGCAAAGGCTGGTTTGTCAGAAAAAGTCCGCCCTTAGCACTATTAAGGAATGATCCTTCCAGGAGCACTTGTTTATCAGCTGGCTGTGTGACTTGTAAAAGGAGCTCTAAGAGGCAGATTCAGGTGTCTGGCAGTATCACTATGGTGATGCCTGAACAGACAGCTTTGAGGTTCGAAGGGAGATTATTTAAAAGCAGTTAGCAAAGATGGGATAGGATCTCAATTTCTCTCCTGTTCTCTCTGGTATGCACCTCCCACATGCTTTCTCTGCAGCTTACATAACTCCATATTATGGATATGAACATGTTGTACCTATTCCAAGCTAATACAGCCCATATCCTTAACTGTGGTGAAGGTAGCACCCCAGAGTCGAACTTTGCCACTTGCTAACAGAAATGGTTTCACCACGCTGACCAAGGCAATTTGGCCCTGCACTGTCCTCTCCTAAAAGCAAATTTCTGGGCTAGCATGTCTACATTTCACAAAGGAACGCCTGTTGATCATACAGCAATTCTTTTGCTGTTCTTATTTAATATTTCTGCTACAGCTTTATTATTTAATATTTTAGCTTCAGCCATGGAAGGGTTAAATTGTTCTAGGCATTGTGCTCATATTAAAATATATACATGCTTGTCCTATAGAGTTTGGATCCCTGGTGGAAATAGATTTAAGCCCTAAGAACAGAAGCAATCCAAATGCTGAAATGAAAAATAAACAGAAACAAGCAAAAAGATACAGGTTTCTGTGTTTGGATCAGAAGGCTTCTGCTAGCACTTCCTTATGTGAACTTTAGCCAGTAGCACTCAGCTTCTGAAACACTCTTTTGAAACTCTGCATCCTGTCCTTTAGAGCCCCTTCTCTGTCCACCTGTGAAGGTGGGCAAGGGCAGGTTACCTCGGCTATTGGGAAACACTGCCAGCACTTCCCTCAGAAAAAGTGACTCAGTCGTGTTAAGATGGCAACTGTGTGGCTTTTGTTCAGAATGCCCTTGCCACTTGATCTGAAAACTCAGAGAGTTTTGATAGATTATTTCTGTGCCCGTAACAAGTTGTTTACACTAATCCAGTGTTTCCTGGTGTAAGTTTGCTTACTTACTAAGGGTATGCACACAACAAGAATGAACAAGAAGATGCAGATTTCTGGATTTTCCCTGTTTGGTATCCCACTGATACTGTCTCCAAAACTGGATCTCTTCTTTTGCGGCTTTCTTCCAGGACTGTACTCACATGACTGCTCTGGTCTTCTCAGGCTTTCTGCTTCCAGCTCACACAGATAATGGCAGCTCCACTTGTCCTTTCAGTTCAGAAATAAATTATTGTGTCTTGGGCACAACGTATAGAACGTATCTATTTTTCTAGATATCAAACTCCAAAAAGGAGTGCAAATGCATCTTTCATTTAGCCTGATGGCTTTATGGCAGAGTACGACTGTTCACAGATCAGTGACAAATTTGGGGATACTTTCCACCGTAACAACACCAATGCTTGGCATTGGCAGTCCATCCAACAACTGTCGACCTTCTAATTTTCCACTTGTAAGACTAAGGAGAGCTGAGGCAACTTGGATCTTCTTGCTAGCTTTCAACACGATTAATTAGCAAATAGGACAATCTCCAGGACAGGATTACAACTCTGAAAGGTTTCTGCCTCATTCCTACACTGTGCAGTCCTAAATTCCCCCAGATTTTGTCACCCTTGCAGTATTTCGC